CAGCCAGCGGCTTGGCCGCGCCGCCGCCGTCGGGGGGGTCCCGGCCCTTGCGGAGAAGGTTCTCGCGGTTGCGCTGCTGGACCAGAGGGTCGGGACCCGTGGACGCTGGCTTGGGCGTCACCTTCTTGCTGCCTTTCTTCTTCTTGGCCGAGGCGGCCACCAGGCGCTTCCAGGTGAGCGCCGAGATGAGCACGGACGGCCGCTTGAGCCGACTCTCGCCTTTGCCGCCTTTGCCGGCGGGCGGCGCCCCGTAGCCCCCCAGCGCCTCGTCCCCCGCGGGCGGCGCCTTCTTCTTCTCCTCCGGCAGCCCGCCCGGCCTCCGGCCCTTGGCCGAGGAGGCGGGGGAAAGCGACAGCACCGTGCCCATCCTGCAGAGCGGGGCCGGCGCCCGGGCCCCGGCGGGAACCGCGGGCGGCGCCGCTGCTACTGCAGCCCCGGGGGACCCGGCGGTGGGGGGCCCTGGCCCCGGCCCGGTCGCGCGGGCCGGCTGGGGAAGGAGCTGCCTGGCTACTCGGCGGCGGCGGCTCCGAGTCTGAGCTGCGCCAGCTGCAGCGTCGGCCCCACCCCTTAGGCCCCTTCTTTCGCGGCGCCGCGCCGCGCCCCGCCTCACGCAGCCAATCCTCGCGCAAGCTGTCTTTTTGACCGGCGGCTCTTCGAACCAATAGGATCTCGCGTGCAATATCGCGTCCCGCCTTATCCATCACCCTGAGTCTGGGGTCCTTTCCCCGAAAACCCGAATGGGGAAACCAGGGAAGATGGCGGTGGTTCGAGGGTCGCTCATGGGTACGGGGGGGGGGGGGGAGGGCTGCTCTCACACCCCCCCAGGGCTGTGGGTCAGCTTGTTTTGTTGCACCGGGTGGCGGTAAGCAGGTTGTATAGAAGCCATGGGGAAAGCCACTGAGTTTGTTTAGGGGGTCAACGTGGTAGTAAGTGACCTCTTCTAGCTGGTCCAGTCCCAGCTGGGTTTCACAGTACTGGCTCTTCCAATCCCCTTTCCCCACCACTTTATGGAGGTTTGCTGCAGCTTTTTTTTTTTTTTAATGCCATAGCCCCTCACTATGTATTCCAGACTGGCTGGGAACTCTCTCTCCTGTCAATACCAAGATTAAAAGCAGGTGCTGCTGGGTGGCTTTACCTGTGAGAAGATGCTGGCAGCGACACTTCCTGCCGGTCAAAGCATTCCTCCTTTGCAGGGCGGGGGCGGGGGGACGGGGACTGAGAGGGGCTTCAAAGTGAGGGAAGCAAGATCCTCAGAATATGTTGTTCATGCCTCTAATTGCCGGCCTGGTTTTCTGCAGGGGAGCCTATGGCTCTAGCCCCTGGACGGCACCATTTGGTTGGTTGTTCCCACCAACATACACTGATCTCACACTTAGGTAGATGATGGATTAGTCTTTGGGGGAAATACTGGAAATTGTAACAGTCAGTCTCTTCAAGCTAGACAGTGAACAGGGCCTTCAATGTGGAAGGAGCCCCATGAGGATTGGCGCAACCTCCCATCCAGACCTAGATCCAACTTGACCTAGGCCCTAGCAAGTTGCTAGGGTGAGTTCTATTTATCTCGGGATCTGGCTGTTTCCTCATCAGTGTCCTCAAGGCCTTGGAGTTTGGACTCTCTGAACTTTACCTGCAGGCCCGTGTTCTGGGTTTTTTTGGCAGAGAAAGAGAGAGAGAAGACAGACAGTAGTGGGGCTTGGGCTCGGCCTTGCACTCTTGCTTGGCTTTTTCATTCAGCGCTCAAGCACTCTACTGCGTGAACCATACTTCCACCTCCCTGACCACTACTGGTCTGGGCCTGTTCTGTTTGCTTTATCCACCCTTCATGAATGCCTTAATGAGTGCCCCATCGTGGCCTGCTATCTTTGGCTTCCCAACACAGAACTCTTCCAATTTCTTAGGTCGATATTGCAGGTGAGTATGGTTTTGATACCATCTCATATGGAGGAGCAAGAAGACCAGTAAAATCCTCAGAATTTTCTTCATCTCTTCATAGAACCTACACTGTTCCAGGGATATACTCCTATCGGGATCGGTGTGTGTGTGTGTGTCTGTGTTCATTCCAAATAGACTGTTCTAGAATTCCCTTGGGTTGCAGCTCTGGCCCCTAGAGGCTCCAGCTTTTCTCAGCAGTCTCTCAGCACCCACCCCACCCCCTCACACTCTCCTGGAAGCCTGTAGTCTGGTTGTCTTGATTTCTCACTCCTTTACCACACAGAGACTTATGCTTCCTGCCCAATGTGCATTTTCTCAGTAGGGTCCCTTCTCTTGCCTCCAAGGGTCTGATGTTTTTTCTCTTGTTGCTCAAGCTGACCTGGCCAACCTCCAATTCTCCCCCTTGAAGTTGCAGGGAAATGTTCCCTCTTTTCAGCTCCTGTAATTGGCCCCACTTCCTCCTACAAGCCCTTCTGAGTCAGCCTTTATTTGACACTCAAGGAACAGTGGCTCACCGGTAGTTAAGGACAGGCCCCACAGAGACTGAGTTGTGCTGGTGGAAACACTGGGCACGTGGATCTGGATGGCACGTGGGTCCTCCCAGCTCTGCTCCCAGGAGTCTCTTATTGACGTAAGGCCTATTGCTGGTGTCATCTAGGACAAGTGCTCTGCAACACTCACAGGTGTCACCACTGCAGACACAGCTGTGGCCTGTCATCCTCTTGGTCAGAATAGAGCATTTTCTTCTGTGCTTCAGGATCCCCAAGCCACCCACATGGGGGTCTCATTCCCCCTCCACCATATCCTCAGACCTCTTCCTAGCTCACCTGTATCTCTCCTTTGGCTTCTAGGTACCCCTCCTGCATCTCTGAGGGTTACCATAGGCTAGAACTCACCCCTCAGAACATCACCTTGTATTCTGTTAGCTCTTAAAATCCCACCTCCTCCAGGAAACCTTTCTGGACTGATAGGAGAGCCTGAAGCTTTCTCTGACTTCAGACTTTCTAGTTTTTTTCCACTCTGATAACTTGGATGAGAGTTAGGCTCTGGGTCCCAATCCCAGAATGTTCAAGATGAGCATAGATAGAAATTTAAAGCCAAAGTAATCAAAACAGATCCATAAAGAGGGACAGTGTTGCTGTTATATATAAGCTAGAGGCACTGAGGGGTAGAGGGAGAAGAAGGATGTGTTTCTTTTTTGTTGGTTGGTTGTGGGGCCTGAACTCTGGGCCTGAGCACTGTCCCTCAGCTCTTCAGCTCAAGGCTAGTGCTCTACCACTTGAGCTATAACGCCACTTCTGGCTTTTTCTGCTTATGTGGTACTGAGGAATTGAACCCAAGGCCTCATGAATGCAAGGCAAGCACACTACCACTGAGCCACCAGAAGGCTGTGTTTCTACAGGGTAGAGGCCACAGGGGATAAGAGTAGTGGAACCAAGAGTGGGTGGGTTTTACAGAAGGGCAGTGACTTCCTCACTACCTTGAGGAAGCCATTTCAGTGCTCTGAGCTTCTGTTTCTGGTTGGGCTACGTGCAGAGTCTATATTTTATTGTTGCCCTGTCTATATTCGTGTCTGGATGTTGCTTCTGATCTGGCCATTTCCCCTGTGCTCCTCTGGCTGTGCCCAACTGCCATAGATGGAAACCCCCTGAGGCCAGGCTTCCTGTCTTTGTCCATCACTCTTCAAGTTACCTCAAACAACACTCTATACAGATAACTAGTTATTCTTGAAGGTTCTTCCAGGCCAAACTGTACACCCATACCCAGAGCTCTAGGACCCAGACTGAGCTTTTAGCTGGGCAGGATTGTGGGCTCAATGATGAGAGTTACTGTCAATTTTACATTGGAAGAGCTTGTCACTCACCTACCTGGGCAGATGAACCCCATCCTTAAGGGACTGTCTCCAGGTAATGCAGCCCAGAGTCTCCCACCTTTTGGTTGTTCATGATTCCCTCTGAGAGATGATGTAGTCTAGGAAGCAGGAGTTCTATCTACAGCTAGCTGGTTGGATGACCTTGAGAACATCATTTCAGCTCTGTGAGCCTCTGTTTGTTCATGTTGAAATTCAAGGATTCTACATATTTTACTTTTATTATCAGCTAAAAAATGAGCATTAAAAGAATATGATAACATTTTTAGGAATTGCACTGAAGAGGATTCCGGAGGCCTCTACCAGTTCTATAGATCTGATTCCAAATCAAATCTGCCTAGGGATCTGTCTCAGTCTCTAGCTCCAGCCCTGTCTGGTTCTCCCTAATCTGTTTCTGTCTGACAAGCTCAGTCTGTTTGCACAGCATTCATGTGAGGCCTGCACTTCTGCAGTTCAGCCTGTGAGGCAAGAGGGAGGCAAGCTTGGCTCTAAGCAATGTAAATGTCCCTAAGTCCCTCCAAGCCTAAGAGGAACCGTTAGAAGGTAGGGAGGCACAAGAAAGGAGGCCAAAGAGGCCAGGAAGTCTAAAGTCCAGGGCTCCCCAAGAGACATCAAAGTTACAGATCTTAGATCCCAAGGTCATTGTATCCCCATTGCATCCAGACCAAGAGCAGCAAGAATTGAGAATATTGGGCATTGGAATGTCTAGATCCTTCACACATACACACACATACACACACACACACACACACAACTTCCTCACAATACAACACCCCCACCTCAAGCTGTCAGTTCCTGAGGTGTGCAAAGAGGGAGGCTATGTACCACCCCTGCCCTCCCCCTGCACCTGAGAATCTTAGACCAGGAGAGCTGGGGTGGAAAGGAGGGAGTCCTTAGGGAGATGGTGGAGGGGAGCAGAACCCCTTCCCAGGTAACAGAGGAGTGTGGAGAGAGGGTAAGCACAGAGAAGCGATGAAGCTGACAATGGAGGAGCTGCTAGCTGCTAAGAAGGAGACCCTCTACCTCTTTCCCTAATAGACTCCTTGCTAGAAGGCCTTAAGGGATCCAAATACAGGTTCTTTAGGACAGAGAATAGAGTTGGGAACTCAGAATAGGAATGTGCTGTCCTGGAGTGGAGACAAAGAACCAATGCCATGAGGGTAGAGGGCCCAGAATGAAGGGACAGAAAACCGAAGTAAGCTGGGAGCCAGCAGCTCATGCCTTATAATCCTAGCTATTCAGGAGGCTAAGGTTTGAGGATCATAGTTCAAATGCAGCCCCAGCAGGAAAAGTCCAAGAAATTCTTAACTCCAATTAACCACAAGAGGTCCGACATATGGCTGTGGCTCAAGTGGCAGAGCACTAGTCTTAAGCAAAAGAACTCAGGGACAGTGCCTAGGCACTGAGTTCAAGCCCCAGTACCAGCTGTGTCCTTCCAGGATGGGAGAACCATGTCTTTCTCCCATTCTCATCCAGGTGGACTGGAACCCAGACCTGGGTGACCCCAGAACCCACAGAGGGTTCTGATGCCTCCCGAGAAAAGCTCTTTTAACCCAATCCTACCT